CTGCCCCCCGGCCGTCCCCCCGACTCACTCCGCAGTGCCCTCCCACAGCACCTGCCCCCCCACCCCCCGGTGGCTCAGGGCTGACAGCTCCCACCCCACGTCCCCTACTCCCACTCCTCCGATGGCATTCGCTGCTCCCCTCAATGCCCAAACAGGCACGGATGACCTGGTCCCCGCCTGCCTCCCGCCCCAGCTCAGACAGCGACAAACGCCATGGAGGCACTCTGGCAGCCCGCACCCCCTTCCTCCCAGACCCCCCAGACCTCCTGCCACCTCCTTCCTCGTCCCAGGAACGAGCAGCCCCAACCAGGGCCTGTCTCCTGGCCCTGCGGTGGCCATGTCCCCACTCGGCCAGCGTCCTCCTTCCCAGAGATGCTGCCTCTGCCCCACTCCCGGCTCTCCCTTGGCCACAGCAGGTCCCATCTCATTGATGTCAAGACAGATGTCACCTCCTCCAGACAGATGAACCCGAATGCTCGACTGGACAGGCCCCTCTGAGGCACCCACAGACACAGCCCCGCCTAACGAGCACCACCCGTCGGCAGCACTGCACAGTCACCTGGGCTCAGTCGGTCCCCTGGCCGAGGACAGAACCTGGCCTGGCCCGGCAGGCTAGATGTGTGGACTGACCAAGCGCTTTCCACCTGAGGGGGCAGGCCCAAGACGCGGCGAGTGGCCGAGGACATGCCGAGGCAGCAGCTGAGGGAACTGGCTCCAAGGCCCTCTTGCTGGTGCCTGCGGGGACAGGTTGGCCTGAGGTCCTCAGGGAGTCAGTGGCAGGAGTGGCACCAGAAGCTCCCCGTAACCTAGCCCCCAGCTCCCCAGCCCTGAGCATGCCACGTGCCACCAAGGATGGTATTTGGGCCTGGCCGCTTGTCCTCAGGCTCGGGGCTTACATGCCTCCCCGGTGCCCCGGCACCTGTCTCTGTGTGGGGGCACAGCTGGCTTTCGAGCACTTCCACCCCCACCCCGGCCCTGCGCTCAGCGACAGTGCGCTCAGCGACTGGGGGCGGTGAGGAGCTGGCCACAGCTGGGCACAGGGCAGGCAGCCCAGCCTCGCTCCAGGAAAGGGCCGTGCTACCCTGTCCACACAGACAAGGGCCCGGCGGTCAGCACCTTGGTCAGCGCCACGCGGCACCGGGTCTGCCCCTCCCTGGGGCACAGGGCCTTGCTGGACCACCCCTCCCCCCTCGTCCCCACCCCTCACTGCACTACTGCAGCGGTTTCCCGACAGACTCGCCCTGCTTCTGCCCTGCAGCCAGCCCCAGAAAGATGCTGCTAGGACCAAAGCGGAGATGCCCCGCCTGCAGGAAGGGAGGCTGCTGGCCTTGGAGCTACGGGCCTGATCTCCGCCTTCGCACCTTCTCCAAGCGACACTTGGGGCAGCTGTTCGAACTCACCGGACTCGCAGACCACGGAGCCAGGCCGCAGCTCCAGCATCATGGTGAGGAGGGCGATGTCAGTGGAGTACAGGATCTGCGTGCGGTGCGGCAGGTTCAGGGTCCAGAGCTCAGGTGTGGGGTGCAGCACGTAGACCCAGCCACCTCGGCCACAGGTCACCTTGGAGCCAAAGGGGCGGCCAATGAGGTCGACCGAGTGCCGCAGGACGCCGTGCCGGGTCTGCGTCTGTGCCCCGTGCTGCACACGCACTGCCACCATTGCACCATGGCCCAGCGACAGTATGGCCGTGTCACCCTCCTTGATCAGCTCCTCGTATGCCACAAAGCTCATGGTGTTAAAGTCTGGCAACTGTCAGGGACCTGGAAAGGGGAATGTGCCGGAAGGAGTAGGTCAGGGGGTGGGGAGGCGCGGGTGGACCTGGGATCCGGGCAGGATGCAGGCTGTGAGGCCCAGATCTGGGGCCCTGTGGCCGGGGGGGGGGGGGGGGCAGCCCGGGCACTGCCAGCGGCGGCCCAAGACGGCTGCACCCGGCCTGACATCTGAAGCCCCTCTTGGCCTAGAACAGGAGACGGGGCTAGGAGCCCAGATCAGAGATGGACACGGATCGACCCTGCAGGGGCCAGGCCCAAAGCTTCCCACAGTCCGGACCCCACCCTCCCACCGCCCTGCTCCAGGAGCCTGACTCCCATTTCCCAGGGTGGGCTGAGAAAGCGGCTTGCGCGGTGTCCTGCGGCGGAGCACAGGCAAATGGGCCGTGAGGACAGCTGCAGGCCGGC